AATTGTTTTTTTAGAGTTAAGCACAAGTTTTGTGATTATATTAGGGTCTATAGCTATCTTGATAGTTACTTTTAATTCAGTGTCGTTCATTTTCATTCATTTCCTCGTTATAATTTATTTGTTGGACGGTTTAGAATAAATTACTGTAACTAAATGAGAATGATGAACAAAAATTACGAAAATGAAAAATTTATTTGAGTGTTAGGAGGTGTTTTCGGGCCAACAACGCCTGGTTCGACCCAGTTGAGGTAATCAAACCTTGGATATCTCATGATGTTATAAGGGAAAACGGGTTGTATTTATTTCTCCTGAAATGTAATATTCCAAGGGATTTTTTTATTTATTTATTAATCTCTTCCATTAGCCTCCTGTTAGTAACTCTTTTTTTTTTTTTTAATAAAAAACCATCTTTGAGTTGGGGGTAATTAATTTATTACGTGGATATGTTAATGTAATGCAGTCATAGGAATGATGGTGGGAAACATCAAAATCTATGTTGTTAAGAAAGAAGATAAACTTTAATGTCGGCCAAATGATGTGGTATTAAGATAGTCAATAAATTTTAGCTTTAATCATTCAACCAAAAGAGATGAGAGGAGATTTGGGCTTCTAATATTAGTAGTAATATGTTTATGAGATTCTGTATCAGACAAAGCCCCACCACAAAAGCAAACCCAAAACTTCCTTTTCAATTTCAAGGTTGTATCCCCCCATTCCCCAATACAAAAACACCAGCTAAAACGTCTTTCAATGATGTCTTATTGAACTTCAAATTGAATGTCATTATCAAGAAAAAAAATTTATTTCTCTTTCTTTAGGGGTCGACCGTCGTTTGGTCTACTTTATCATGATGTACCGTTTTATATATTGACATTAGATAATCGATCCTCTAGTTCACACCAAATAAATGTGACGTTTATATATTCCCTTAAGTCGGCATCTTCATCTTCTACCTTCATTCATGCACTTCCTTGATATTTTCCTTTTAGCATTTGAAAAAGAGAAACAAAAAACAATATGCTTTAGGTTCGATTTTCATTTGGAAGGCGATCAAGCTCACATATGTGGGCCAACTATTAAAATTATATATGAAGGTTATACTACAACAAAACAATATGCACTCGTAATAAGAAAATACTCGCTGTCTTAAAAAATAGTATATACTGAGTTTTGAGATTTTTAACGGGTTATTTTTTTTTTGATAAAGAGAATATAAGCTAATGTCATTTAAGGAAATCATATCATTGACGGTACATGATGATTGAAAATTAGCTTTTTCTTAGTAGCCTAATTGAAAGCTATACTTTCAAATATAAAATTTGTCAATAACAGTATAACATTATTCAGTTAGGTGATAGATTGTCTTTATAGACAAAAAAAAAAGTTGAAGATACTGAAACGACCCTCTCAAGATATACGCATAATATAGTCTTCTTCGATGAATAAAATTATAATTTGTATTTTGAGTTTGAAAATCCAAGTAACTAACTCTGCAATTTTGAATTGAAAATCTACTAAATTAGAACTTCATCAAGGTTAATTTGAGCACTCATATTAGTGTTAGTTATTCCTTTTTGCTAAAACAACAAGACTCTATCAGTTACATGACAAATGGTATCACTATTTTTCTCAAATTTGTTTTTCCAAATTGTTACCAGATGAGATATAATATCTGTACGAATAATTTATTTTGGAAGGATCAAGAAAATAATTGTACTTCTCCAATTTATTATTTTTGTTTCTGTCCCAATTACAACTTTGACGGTTTGACCATGCAGTTTTTTTGAAAATTTTCAAATGCTAGATTCCATCTGTCTACTAACTTTTTTTCTGAAATCATTTTCGGGGACACCTAAAAATTTGTTTGGGAATGACTTGCTTTATTGACCATATATGATCATTTGAATTATTGATCGATCGAAGAATTAGGAATTTAGAGGAGCAACCGAATACCTAACTAAACCGTTAACCGAATCCTATTCTCACCAGCTTTTGTTTTCTTGTTTCGACAGTATCGTTTCTAATACTATATAGTAAGTATTAGGGGAATAAAGAAATGGGAGTTTTGTACTATATAGTCCAGGACATCTGAATTTAATGTAGGGAAAGAAGGTAGAGAGAGTGTCTTCAGTTAAAAGTCAATTTTAGTTAGCAAAAAACATAAACTATTTGCGGTTGCAACAATCATGGTCAGTGGAGTGGAGATGTCTCTATATGGTACGTATGAGAAGTATGGGCATATAATGTAAAATTTAATTTAAAACTATTGTATCAGTACTAAAGGAATCTATTACCTCATTTAGAAATCCCTATTTAATAACAATCTGTGTGCTACTCGATGAATTATGACCTTACCAATTTAAATCTTGAAACAAAATCAACAATACCGTTTATCTCATGTTGTCATCGGTTAATAGTGGTGGAACTAGGAAACCAATATTGGGGGGTGCGAAATTTAGACAAAACTACTAATAACATTAGGAAATCAATGTAATGAGTACGAAAAATTATTTAACACATAATTTCTATTGAAAATTTAGGATATCCCTACTAAGTAAAAAAAATTGAGCAGGTTCGACCGCGCTCCCCTAGCTCCACCACTGATCGGTAATATGAATGGATCTTATATCACCATTGTATTTTGTTACCAAGTTTTTAATCAATAAAGCGGTCAATCTTCGCCAGATATATATTATATATATGCTGTGGTTTTATTAAGTTGATTTTCTTTTGAACCAAATCTTTTGTGAATAATCTCTCTCACTTATTTTGGATGTATGTCACATCGATGGAACGACGTTATAGTGATTTCTTTAATGCTAAATAATGATATTTATCTTTTGCTGAATACTATTTTGACTTGTATTTCCCTTTAGCTAGCCTATTCTTGAGCTCTTTCTTTGACATTTTCATTTTTTGGTCTATCCTTGACACTTTGATTAAAGGACATATTGCCTTTCATTTTTTATGGAACATTGGTTAACCGATTTAGGCGAATAAGTGACCATGTTCTTTTTCCTCCCCGAAAGAATTGGAAGCAAACCCAGGAAAAGTCGTCATCAATACGTACCAATCATGTTGCAAACTAATATAACTCTACTAATTAGTTTTAGGCCTTGAATTAAGGATGAAAGGTTACATGCTTTCAAAAGCAGACTTTTTACCATGCAGGATTGAATAGATTATCTTTGAGCAACTTTAGGTTAACATTAACAATTTACAAGTCAATAAATTGACTGCAAAAAAAGAAAAAAAGATGAAGAGGCCAAATAAATGCGAAAGACCATTTTTATCCTAAATGTCTTGTGCAAGCACTAAAAGTAAGCACCAACTCACCATTTGATACTAGTCCTGATCGTTCGGCTTTTGGTTTTAATCATTTGTTCCGAACTTGTTTTGTTTTGTTTTTCGTTTTCTTTCTTCTCATATTATATATCTATTATACACCATAATATTTAAAATCATTATTTCGACTAATTTAAATTGAATCAATCAATGCAATGTTTTTTCTCGTTTCTTTTTGGTTATTTTTTTCAAACCAAAAAATCAACTGTTTGAGGATTTGACCTAATGATAATTAATCCATTTTTGGGACATCATGTGGATCAATCCCTAACTTATAAGTGTCAATCGTATTTACCACCCTTCTATAAGGAAGCGTATAAGGGTTAAATCTCGCGATTATATATTGTTGCTTAGTAGGTCTGATTAACCTTGAATGTGCGATGTAAGTCCATTTATACTCAATTGAATGTGATGTGTCTCTGAGTTGTGCAAAATAAAATACATAACCACAGATTTTTTAAAATTTTTTTTTTAAACGTAATATCATAATATGGATGTATAATGGTGGAAAAGTCAAGTAGGGGTCCTAGTAGCAAGAGCAAGTAGTTGAATAGAAAATTCGTTGGTTTTCTTCATAGTGTGATGACATTTCTCCACATGACCGCCCACAAAAATGTCCACCAGAATACGTACAATTCACTGTTTCTATAACAATTTTAACCATCTTCTTCCCCCATCATTTTTACCCCCCTCAAACCATTAAAATACCCGCTGCTAGCTAGCCGTGTTTCAGTCTGTTTTTTTTTTTTCTCCTTCACTTTTTGCACTCATTACAGCATATGATCAAGACAGATGCAAATTATTATCACATGAAATCAGGACAAGTAGCTGGTTGTCGTCAAATTAGCCCAACTCTTCTTCAAGCTAGCTAGTAAAAATTCTTCAATGTACATACATGGGGGTTTTGGGACCAGTACTTGAAAATGCTCAGAAAATAAAAGAAGCGGAAAGAGTGAGAAACCCTTTTTGAGGCCAACTGAATTTACTCTCTTTCACAGTCTCTGCAGGCTTTGTTAATGCAGAAGTCAGGATATTGATCAGATTCACAGAGTTTTCCCAAACACAATTTACACACACACACACACAGAGAAAATTAAATCAAAACCATGGCGTGTGTAAGAAGACATAATAGTTTCGATTCTGTCAAATATTGTACAACATTTGAAATATACATATATATTGAAGCTCCACAGCAGCAGCACATAGTAGTAGTAATGAGCTAGCCTACCTAGCTATAGCTTCCCATATGGTCTAAAATATCAGGCGATTTCAATATTACACATCTGTATATGTATTTATGGAGTGCCATTAAAACAACATCGTGTCATATAATAAGGAAATGGCTTTCCATCTTTTTTCCTTTGATCAACATTGTTTCGTAATCCTCAATCTTTAATAACAGCAGATGATACTTTTGTTGTTGAAGAGAAAACTAAAACTGGAGGGAGAGATGAACAAATTCTTGGTATTCTCGCTTCATGATTTATTCGATCTATTTCCTCTAGAAAAAAACATCATAATCATATCATATGATGTGAATTAATGGAAACCCTTTTTTGCAATCAAATTTTTAAGAGCAAACTCATTCTCTCCTCCAATCCTAAAAAAAACCTACAAATGATATCAAACGAGGTGACAAAATGATGAATTACCTATCAGAAATAACTCCAAAGGCTCTCAACATCGGAATTTTCGGGCGAATTTTCCGACGTTTGAGAGCTCAATATTCTTGGGGGGCTAACAAGCATTCCTTCTGCCATATCCACAAGCAAATTAGGCATGTCGAAAAGTTCTTCTTCATCGATGAATCCATCTTCAGCTTGTTGATCAGTTGTAGCAGTAGTTGTTGAGCTAGCTTGTTCCAGCTGGCCGCTTTTCTCGCTCGTTTCCGGCTGATTGCCGGTGTTCTGAGATGATGAGATCCTTGCGGCGGCGGTGGCAGCCTCCTCTTCCTCCTTCTTCATCAACTCGGCAGCCTCAGCGGCGGCGCTGCGAATTTCAGTCGGAGAAGGTGAGGCTGGGACGGGAAAAGAACTAATACGATGGGGAAAGTTCAAGGCAGCTTCACTACCTTTTAAGGCCTGAGCTGCCACGTCATATGCCGCGGCGGCCATCTCCGGCGTTGGGTACGTCCCTAGCCATATACGCGTCGTCTTACGTGGCTCCCGGATCTCGGATACCCATTTCCCGCTCCGGCTCCTTATCCCACGGTACATTGGGTGTTTCCCACTCCCCGGACGCGGTGATGACCCGCCCGAACCCGATGAGGACGACGTCGTACCCATCGTCGACGAAGGAATCTTAGGTGGTTGGAGTTGGAGAAGGTTAGGCGGAGCTGGTGGTGGCGGAGGCGGAGCTGGTGGTGGTGGTGGTGGAGGAGGAGCATGAGGAGGGCTGAAGGGTTTTTCTTGACTATTCAGGAGGTTGACGAGTTTGTTTTGGTCCAACGTGGGTGGGTTATTAGGTTGATGAGGATGGTCAGCCATAAATACCTTTACTTTTTTTTTTATTATGTGTATTTATGATGTGATGATATATATATAAATGTATGACTCTATATATGATCACTGTGTGAGTGTGTGTATATTTGTGGGATAATTAGTGGTGGCCTCTCTCTGGTGTGGGGAATGATGGATGGATGGCAAATGGTTTTTGGGTACATGAGAATTGTGGGTTTTATATATATGTTGCAAAAAGTAGTAAAGGAAAAAAAAAAAAAAAACCGTGGGGAATTCGTGGATGAATTGCTAGGGTTTTTGAAAAAGTTGTTTATTGGTACCTTTTTTGACATTGACACAGAAGATACAAACACACATAATACGTCGTTGTTACTGCAAATTTCTGGAGTTGGATGGAAAAGAAAAACGGCACCACAGTGACACACGCTTTAAATGAAAGCGTACAACCTAGCCTTGAGCTGTAATCTATTGTAATTCCATTTTCTGAATCTCCCACTTGTTTGCCTTGTAGCCCTCTCTACCATTATAGGAAGACTAGTAGTGTTTATTTATTTATTTCTTTTTTCCTTTCCATTTTCATTTGATTGATCCGAATAAAAATACTAACACAATTCCAAAATATCTAACTAATAATACATACAGTAGATAAACAACACGTATCATATCATGTTTCTTTTGAATAAAGAAAATTGTGAAATACATGGGTCTACATGCATGTTAGTAATTTTTCTTATTTACTCGACCTCGTATTTTCAAAACTATTTGCGATGAATATAAGGTATAATAGGTATAACATGCAAAAATGTCATCTTCAATTAATTTGATATGACTTTTGTTGGTTGAGGAGAGTATATTTTGAAACCCCCAAATTTGTTTAAGCAATTAAGTTGAACTCTACTTAATCCACGTCCAAAATTTAAAATCGAGATAGTCACTCTAGTATGGTACAAAAAAATGTAATACAATACGTAAAGGAACGGTAGAAGAGACCAAATTTGATGACAAAAGAGAATCAACTGCAATCATGATTATTCCAAGGAAGTTGCCTTCGGCTGATTTTTTATTTTTATATTTTTTCTTATTGATAATCTTAAAAACGATTATTGGTGTGTGGATTATGATTGCTATAGTCTGCCAATCCACATATATTCCGAGTCAGCAATAAATTAAACTTACAAAAGACGTCCCCTCCACCAAGCCCCCAATATAACAACCACCCGCCACCCCAATATATCATCAATCAATCTTAGATTGGTTTTCGATTAAGTCAAATGATGAGCTCTCAGGTTATGCATACATACTGTACTAGCAGTCAATTTATTACATGCGTTAGTTACCCATATCCACCGTGGGTAAGTATATATGTGAATAATATTACATATGTCAATTGTTGATTAATTGTCATAAACTTAATCTTTTGATTGTTGTAACACTTTATTAGCTTTTCAATTGTTTATACAAATTACTATTTTTTTCTACAGTAAAAAGAGATTCATATCTAAAATTTTATACATCGTAAATATATAATCTCTATTAAATCATATTCTAACTATGGTTTGACAACCGATGGCAGAGTTTCCAGTCGTTGAAAGGATTGGAAGCCATGATCAAAAGTGAAGAAGGGTGAATGTGTTTGTGTGTGGGAATTTCAAACTTTGTCTATGTTGAGAGTACTTAAACCCCTACCTAATGAACTAATGAGCAAACCGAAAAACTAGGTTCGATCTACTTCAATTTTGGTTGGAACAATCACATGCAAAGTCATATATCTAATTAAATGGCTTTTATTCCAAAAACAAATACTACATCTAATTGAGTGAACCATGCACAAACAGCCATGAATTGCACCTCAAAAGCTCATAGATTCTTCAGAAAATCACTGTGTAAACACATGTTCACCCACATTAAGAAGATGCCCTTATTCCACTATTTTGCTTGATCACTTACTCAGTTATTAGTATATAATAATCAAATTACCGGAAAAAAATTGTAGTAAAAAATTCATTTGGTTGTCTTCTTCTTTTTAAGGGCGTTTACTATTTTGTGGGAAGAGAAATATTTAAAGTGCAAAATTGTATGGATGATATTGAAGCAACAAGGCTTGAGTTATTCGTCAAATGCACACAGCTCGATCCTGTGGTTGACATATCAAATATTTAACAAAATTAAAACCTTTGTTTATTTGGGACCCTTTCAAAACCATTAGGAAACAACATAGAAATGGAACAAAAAGTGAAAAATAACCAGACAAGAAAGAAACCTAAGAAACTGAAATCATGATCCAGCTAGTTGTCATGTCTTGTTTCTTTGTTCTTCTAGCCACTACGTTATGATAGATGTAACCTGTTAAAAGACAGAAGTTTATTATAACTTAATTTGTTAGAGACTTCTTAATATCGTAATATCTAGTAATTTGTGGCATAGATCGATTTAATTAATTGGTTATAACTTTTCATATGTGGAAAATTTTCCTTTAAATAAAAATGATAATTCAAGGGTAATACATATATGTACACATATCCACGTTGTGGTAACGTGACGAATATTTATGTGTTGTAGAATTTTAGTCCTTTTTGTGCTAACAATCTTGAATCAGAGATTTGGATTCAAGCGGAAGCAAAAAAACGGGATTGAGTTTCAGCTTTAGAAGAAAAGGGGAAGAACGTCCGGTATTTTGGTAAAGTAACTGAATGTATTTTTCACTGTATTGTTACAATCTACCTGTCTGTACATATATATACAGTCTGCCAGCTAAGGTAACTATACAAGTTTAACTAATTACAAATGAGTCCCCAAAATACTAGGTAATTACAAAAACTAAACAAAAACTATACTGACTAAAAAATATATATATGTACTATGACACTTGATCTTGTAACTCTGTGTCATCTGGCCGCATTTTATACGATTCTTGTACATCCCCCCCACAAGCGGGCACATGAAGCAAAGTCTTCATGCCAAGCTTGGACTGTAAAGAAAGAAAAAGGGGATGAGGTAAGGACTTGGTGAAGATGTCGGCAAGTTGGTCCTTGGAAGGGAGGTACTGTGGAACCAGAAAACCCTTAAGAAATTGATGGCGGACAAAATGACAATCCAATTCCAGGTGCTTGGTGCGTTCGTGGAAAACCGGATTTTCCGTGATATAAACAGCAGACAAATTGTCACACCAGAGGGGAATTGGAAGAGGAAGCGAAACACCAAAGTCATGAAGTAAGTAAGAAATCCAGAGGAGCTCACGACTAGTGTAACTCATACTACGATACTCAGCCTCTGAGCTGGAACAAGAGATAGTGGTCTGTTGCTTGGCTTTCCAAGAAATCAAAGACTGACCCAAGAAAATACAGAAGCCAGTAACAGACTTTTGGACCACAGGGTCTGAACCCCAATCAGCATCAGAAAAAGCTTCAAGTTGAAAGGAGCAATGACTAGGGTAAAACGGACCATGAGCAGAAGAACCTTTCAAGTATTTAAGAACATGAACTAAAGCAGACCAATGATCATCACAGGGCTGCTGGACATGCTGACTAAGCTGCTGAACAGCAAAAGTAATATCTGGGCGGGTAAACCCTAAATACAGAAGTTGACCAACCAGTTTACGATAAGAAGAAGGGTCGGAAAGAAGAGCACCTAGTTTATCCGAAAACTGGTGCCCCTTGGGTAAAGGAGTAGTAGTTGGCTTACAACCTGAAAGGCCAGTAGCATGAAGAATGTTAGAGATATACTTGCGCTGTGAGAGATACAACCCATCGGCATTACGAAAGATTTCTACACCCAAGAAGTATTTAGCTGGTCCCATATCTTTTATAGTAAACTTTTGGTGAAGAAAACTCTTGACAGAAGCAAGAACTGTTGCGCTGGAACCAGTGATTAGTATATCATCTACATAAACAACTAAGGCAGTAAAATGACCATGAATGATCCCAGTAAACAAACAAGGATCATTATTAGACTGGATAAAACCAAGAGTGCGAATCTGGGAAGTAAATTCCAGGTTCCACTACCGAGAAGCCTGTTTAAGGCCATAGAGAGAACGCTGTAATTTGCAAACCTGTTTACCAGAGGCTAGACCATAACCTTCTGGGGGTACCATGTATACTTCCTCATCCAAGTAACCATGGAGGAAAGCGTTGTTGATATCCAGCTGATGAAGAGCCCACTGAGATGCACTTGCGATTGCTAAGAGTAATCGGACAGTAACAGGTTTAGCAACCGGTGAGAAACTATCATAAAAGTCCTCACCTTCCACTTGAGTGTATCCCTTTGCCACGAGCCGTGCTTTGTACTTGTTGACACTGCCGTCAGGGTTGTACTTAATCTTGTACACCCATTTACAGCCAATAACCCTCTTTCCTGCTGGTAAATCTATTAAAAACCAGGTATGATTCTGTTCTAGGGCATGCAGCTCACTTTCCATGGCCTGCTCCCATGCTGGATTAGTTCGTGCTTGTGAATAAGTTTTTGGTTCTAGATGATCATTGAGATTGGCTAAAAAAGATAAATGTGTGGCAGAAAACTGGACAGAATCATGTAAAGGAGAATGATGAGTGGAATCTGTGACCACAAGATTAGTGGTATAATCAGACATCCAGGTAGGTGGTTTGGAAGATCTAATGCTACGACGAGGTAAAGGTGGATTAAGGACTTCTGAAGTAATGGGTTCTGGATGTGGTGGTGATGATACGGGAGAATCAGAGGGAGCAGGAGAATGAGAATGATCGGTAGTTGGCTGGAAAGAGGAAGTTGATAAAGGAGAAGAAACGTCATTGGGAATATCAAACCAGGCTGGATCATCAATGTATGGTGTGAAAACGCAAGAAGGAGATATACTATCAGGTGTATTGTCTTGGAGATAAGGAAAGATAGTCTCATGAAAAACAACATCTCGGGAAATAATAACCTTTTTAGAGTTCAGATCATACAATTTATAAGCCTTCTGTCCGGAAGGATAGCCAATAAAAACTGTTTTAAAGGCTCTTGGATCAAATTTAGTTTTGTGTGGCAGAGTATTGGTGGCATAACCCAGACAA